CCGCCGCCCGCGGCCGCCCCGCGCGGCGCCGCGCGCGCGGGCGGGCCGCCGCCCGCGGGGCGCCCCCGGGTGGCCGCCCGGCCGCGCCCCGCGCGGCCGGGGGCCCGCGGCGGCCGGCGGGCGCCGGAGCGGCCCTCGAGGCCGCCCGATGTCAGGAGGGGAAAAAACACACAGACACCATTCATCGTTGACTCCGCAGAAAATAGTGGAAAATATGGGAAGTGGGGGGGAAGACAAAAACCCAGAGAAAATATCGGAAAATATAGGGACAATGTTTTATTTGTGTGTATTTATTTGTGTGTCCCAGGGCCCCTTCACGATGCTCGGGTTCAGTCGGGCCTGTCCCTCGATAGGAGGGATGTTCAAGAATAGTCAAAGAGTAGTGGGGTTGCGTTTTGTTGTTATCATTCGTCGCGGCTGTTTGGGAGCATGTTGGGAGCGTTTGTTGGTGGTTGTTGTTGTTGTTGTTGTTGTTGTTGTTGTTGTTAGTGTTAGTGTTAGTGTTAGTGTTAGTGGTATTGTTGTTGTTGGTGTTGTTGGTGTTGTTGGTGTTGTTGGTGTTGTTGTTGTTGTTGGTGTTGTTGGTGTTGGTGTTGGTGTTGTTGTTGTTGTTGTTGTTGTTGTTGTTGTTGTTGGTGTTGTTGTTGTTGTTGTTGAACATTATTAATTCTAAAGAATAATTATTGTTGGGCCCCCTGGTGCGCGCCCCCCCCGCCGCGCCTAGGCCGCAGCCACGTTTTCATCATTTTCGTGAGGAAGCCTCAGGTAATTCGAGGTGATCAAGATCCGGTTGTTTTGTTGTAATCCGCTTTCCCTTGCAAAAAACACTATAAAATGAAATTTCTTGTTCAAATATTATCAAATTTCAAGAATCCCTTGTAAAAAATAAGGTAAAGTGGACATTCGCGCGCGCAAGACGAAATCCTTCCAAAAGCTTAGTGTTCGGAGCGATTTCAACATAAAAACATCAAAAAACCAATGGTTTTTCAACAAAAAAATGTCAAAATCTCATCCCGCGCGCTCTTGCGGATTCGTAGGAAACCCAACACTTTTTAAACATTTCTGTCAAACGGGTTTTTGCGAGCAACTTTTTCGAACTTCTGCGACAACGGTTGCGCACCTGCCAGGGCCATCATCCCTGTCAAATAATACCATGCGGGACACATTCGTTTTTTCTTCGCGCGCGCACGCCGAAATCTCCAAAAACCATTGGGTTCTGTGGGTGTGTACCCCACGCCAGTGTAGTAGCCACGGTCGTCCGCACGCCACGAAGTGAAGTGTCCCAACGTCATAGGGCGGGAAGCTGGGTTTGGGTGGTCGCGAAGAGTCGTTTGGATATTTGGTAGAGCTTGTAATGCCCCCCCACGAAGTGGGGGTATTGCCTGGTGTCGTATGAAAACCCTGGCACTGGGGAGAACACCACGCGTTCGGGTAAAATGATTGTTGTTGTTGTTGTTGTTGAACATTATTAATTCTAAAGAATAATTATTGTTGGGCCCCTGGTGCACGGCCCCCCCTGCGCCGCCTAGGCCGCAGCTACATTTTCATCATTTTCGTGAGGAAGCCTCAGGTAATTCGATGTGATCAAGATCCGGTTGTTTTGTTGTAATCCGCTTTCCCTTGCAAAAAACACTATAAAATGACATTTCTTGTTCTAATATAATCAAATTTCAAGAATCCCTTGCAAAAAATAAGGTAAAGTGGACATTCGCGCGCGCAAGACGAAATCCTTCCAAAAGCTTAGTGTTCGGAGCGATTTTAACATAAAAACATCAAAAAACCAATGGTTTTTCAACAAAAAAATGTCAAAATCTCATCCCGCGCGCTCTTGCGGATTCGTAGGAAACCCAACACTTTTTAAACATTTCTGTCAAACGGGCTTTTGCGAGCAACTTTTTCGAACTTCTGCGACAACGGTTGCGCACCTGCCAGGGCCATCATCCCTGTCAAATAATACCATGCGGGACACATTCGTTTTTTCTTCGCGCGCGCACGCCGTCGTCGTCGGCCGCGGGGCCCTGAATAATAGCCACGGTCGTCCGCATGCCACGAAGTGAAGTGTCCGAACGTCACCATGCTGGGCACATGCGCGCCCCGAATAAGTGACCAAGTTCTGTGGGTGTGTACCCCACGCCAGTGTAGTAGCCACGGTCGTCCGCACGCCACGAAGTGAAGTGTCCCAACGTCATAGGGCGGGAAGCTGGGTTTGGGTGGTCGCGAAGAGTCGTTTGGATATTTGGTAGAGCTTGTAATGCCCCCCCACGAAGTGGGGGTATTGCCTGGTGTCGTATGAAAACCCTGGCACTGGGGAGAACACCACGCGTTCGGGTAAAATGATTGTTGTTGTTGTTGTAGTTCTCCAACATCCCCGTGTAGGGGGACATGCCCGACCCAATGCTCGGGACGATCCGAATTCGGCGGCGGGTGAGGGGGGGAAAGTGAGAAGGAGAAGGCCTTCTCAGAGGGCAGCAGGACTTCTCAGAAGCCCTCCGTCCTTTTG